GCGAGAAGACATTTTAAGAAACAGTCTGTGTTTCATCACTTGGCTGTAAACGGAAACCGAGTGCAGCGATGCGAATAGAAATAGAAATCAGTACAACTTCCTGTCTACCATGCGTATAATGAGCATTTTTGAAATAAAGATAGAAATTTTGATTACGATGTATATAAAAATGTAAAATTGTTTTAAAAAATTGAATAAACAGGAATGTTTCGGTCCAGTAAGTCGTGAACATTCCTATTCAGCACCACAACTGGATGGTTTGGTACTGATAAATAAATGAATAAAATGAATTTGTGTAATATGTGTTACAATTCCAGAAGGTAAAAAGAGATTAAATTTTAAAAATAATAAAAAAGAAAAGCAATAAGCAAGAGCTGATCGCAGTGAGCAGGGACCGTGCATAAGATTTTGAGAAATATCAATTATTGATGTTTGTTTAATTCTTATAAAAAGTCTTTAAATTTTAGCATTTGTATATAAACACAACAGTAGTTTTATAAATTTAAACATATGTAAATGAACATGGTAAGAATTATATAAGTACATATTATAAGGTCTGTGTGAAAAGTTGTGTAGAAGTGATCTGCGCGGAATGTTGTCCAATATTTCAGTTTCTTTTAGTCTCTTTTAATCTCGTGAAACTTGCGCATACATATATTTATTATTTTGATATATTTTAGTATGAGCGATGAGCCTCCAGCTTACTTCTTAGATAGTTGTCGGAAAAGTGTTGTTTCTGGCCTAACTAGCAATTGTTTTTTCTGCGAACGCTCGACTCATTTCGGAGTATTTCTCTCTCTTATAAAAAATAAATAATTGGCCAACGCACGGGCTGCCCGTGCGAAGATGCGTTTTTTGTATAACTCCCCGCAGATTTTTGTCGCTAACGGCACTGGTTTTTCTGGCAAATGCTTCTGGCTAAAAGAATTTCAGACTGGCCGCCAGGACTGTCAGGAAACATCCCTTCAAAATTCCAGTCTTCTAGCTTCTCACGCTCCTGAGTAAGCAACTTGCCCAAAAGAAACTTTCACGGGCCGGTACGTAGGTACCACGCTTACCCGGGGCTGGGTTTGAGCTCTTTAATACCCACTTGGACGAAGGATATCACACTAATATTTCAGCATTCTAGCTTCTCAGATCCCCGAGTTATGAACTTACCCAAAAAAAAAACTTTGGCGGCCTCTTACATAGGTACAACGCGGGTAATGGCGCCTATTTTGGGGATTGGGGCCCGTACGTGCATGCAGACCAAGTTCCCAAAGTTTCAGTCCTATAGCTTTTCTAGGTCTTGAGATGAAAATGCATGACAGACGCATACACAGACACACACACACACACACAGACAACCTCTCGTCAATATGCGTTTTTCGCATTGCATTGCTAACACACACACAGACACACACACACAGACAACCTCTCGTCAATATGCGTTTTTCGCATTGCATGCTGACACACACAAACACACACACAGACACACACACAGACAACCTCTCGTCAATATGCGTTTTTCGCATTGCATTGCTGCAAAACACACACACACACACACAGACAACCTCTCGTCAATATGCGTTTTTTGCATTGCATAACTGCAAAAAAAAAGCGTAAAAACCAGTACTAGTGACAAAATATAGGCAAAAAGTCAAACTCCCCTCCCTATTCAGCTTGCTTCAAACACACACACAGACAACCTCTCGTCAATATGCGTTTTTCGCATTGCATCTAAAAAACGCATACGCACACACAGACACATACACACACAGACAACCTCTCGTCAATATGCGTTTTTCGCATTGCATTGCTGCAAAAAACGCATAAAAACACACAGACAACCTCTCGTCAATATGCGTTTTTTGCATTGCATTGCTGCAAAAAACGCATAAAAAGGGATCTCGAATGCCGCATAAGTGAAATTAGAAATAAATCGCTGTAAAAGTATCGATTTGAAAGAAAGGAGGAAATATATAACAACAAAAAATCGAAGAAAATAATTATGAGTTAAGACAGAAGAGGATACATTTTTCTTGTAGCATATGTAAAATTCAAAAACGCAAAAGAAGTGCAGCGGCTGCTGAACACATCGGCTTACTGAGCGGATAATTTAGCCACAAATCATTGTTCGAAGGCCTATGCGATTGGAACGCAGTGATGGCGAGTAAAACGGTGCGCGATTTTGATACCGCATTCACGGCGCCGATGTTTGGCTATAGCAGTTGTGCGGAGTACTATCATGCTGCTGCGCTGTACTGGAAAGTTCACAACATTCCGATTCCAACAGTTTGTCTGAATGCTGCTGACGACTGCTTCAGCCCCATAGAGTGTAAGTTTTTGTCATTTTCCGGGCCACTACAGTCCACAGTTTGATTGATTTTTCTTTTTTTTATAAAGGATGGGGCTATTTTCAAATGCATTTTGCTTCTCATAAAGATTTGAAATATGGATTTTGCGAAAAGAAAAAGCAAGGCTTGACTTGCAAGGTTACCGCAAAAATTTCATTGAATTGGCTGGGCTGATTTATGCCCTTGAATATGTCAATGAGCACTTGACCGATTGTGGCCTGATGCAAACACATGGGTTTCACTGCCAGAAACATTGGTTTTCCCCGATATTGCTGCGTAGCCTCACCGTTCCCATCGATCCTGAGCCACACTCCCCCCATTTTCAATTTTTTTGCACGCAGCGTTGGGCCCAAATAGTGTCCCTAAAGCAGAAACACGAGAGAAATCGGACCGAAGAAAAATAATACTGCTGTTTGGTCGAGACCTCTATTCTCGGCAGCTTTTAATCAAATA